TCCAGACTTTTAAATAATCCTCAGCTATCTTGTTAATTGTGGAATTGGAGCTTGACTTTTTAGACATGGCAATCTGAAGCTAGAAAGATTACACCGATCTTGCCCAAATTCAGATTCAGCCATTTTTAGACAAACTGTGATTTCGGCCAATATGAAATAAAACTGTGCACATTGCTTTTAAGAACAATATTTTATCTGAGGAAGCCTTGGGTAATGGAGGCAAGGAAGAAAACCTACTTCAATTGCAGAAGCAAAAGCTCTTGAGAGAAAACAGGCTCAGCCACACGACCAGTTCTACTTTGTAAAGAAAGTTATTATACTAGGGAATTGACAACCCCTGGACAAAAGCTGGTTTGTTCCATTTGAAATCCATGTACTTGCATACATAGGTTCGCCATTAATGTTCCTGTAGAGTGACCTGTATAATATAAATAAACTCCCATCCAACCACCCCTCCATCCATTTTCTAGGCTCTTCCTTAGAATCCTGCAGGTATTAACTGTTTAGGATTAGATGGGTACAGTTATTAAAGATGACTTTTCCTAGTAGAAGTGGTTCATTCGTTCAAAAGCTGCTCTATATATATTTGTTTGAGGTGTCAATTAAAAGAGAGATAATGCCTTTTCAGACGGTTTGTGATCCACAAATGTAACCTATCTGAACTATTTGAAAAAGGAAATAATTATTCAGTGGTATGAATGTTACTTGCAATCATTTATTGATTCAAAATTTCAATCAAAATAACACAGTTTGCAGGTTGACAGAAATGTTTCTTTTTTGAGGGTCAAAAAAACAAACTATGTATTTTTTTCCAAACTCCAAAAAATCGATATCTTTAAGTTTTACTTTATTTTGCTAACCTAAACCTCAAGCCCTGTTTGTTGGGAATTTTAAAATAATAAATCTAGTATAAATCAATTGTACTCTTCGGCTCAGAGGAGGAGGCAACATTTGAAATGTGTGCGTGTCAAAAATCTAAGTTAAAAACAATAAAAATACACAGTCAAATATTTTACACAGTTTTTACTATTTTTCAAGAATAGTAAATTACTCAGTTAGAAGGTTGGCGGTTCGAGGCATGTTCTCCCCGTGCTTGCGCGGGTTTCCTAGATTGTGGGTACACCGGTTTCCCCCACAATCTCAAAAACATGCCTCATTGAATAATCTAAATTCTCCTAAGGTGTGAACGTGTGAGTCTGTGATGGACCAGCACCGGCGTGACCCCGAAAGGGAATAAGCAGGTTTGAGAATGAATGAAAGAAAGTAAACAACTAAACATAGAGTAGCGGTAGCATTAAGAATAGATTGTAAAATTTAGGGCTCACCTTGTCTTTTATCACAGGAAAAAAAGAGCAACCCTCATCTTTGCAGCAATCACATTCTGCCAGGCCCTAGGCATTCTAGCGGCCTATTTCTCCAGGTTATCTGATGAAATCTCACCACCCTGTTCCTAGAGCGTCTCTTGCAAAATGTACTTGCTTGATGGACTCTTCCACTGTACCCTCAAGCCATTCACACAACAGCTCAATGGGTTTCCAGACGTTGGCTCTTCCATTGTAGTCAAAGCTCAGGGATCAGTTTCTTCACGTAGAATTACATTTGCTCAAAATTACAATCTATTATCCTACCTAGTCTGTCTGAAATACTTCTATTTACCTCATAATCCTCACAAAATATCCTAAATCCTTGCAATGTGCAGTAGACGAAACAAAAAATGCATTTTTGTGCTTTTAAATTTGGACTTTTCTCAATGTTTTAAATGGTGTTCAGTCTGCATTTCTCACACCGAGCACTTAACCCCCCAAAAAGTGAGTTAATAGCTTCTCCTTAAATTTGCCATTAATTACATTCTGCCCCTTTCAAATAAAACTTAGCTTATCTCTCTGCCCAGAAACTCCAGAGCACAGTCGCCAAAGCACATTGGCTAAAAAAGCAATCACTCCATCATTCACAATCCTGATTTTCCTGCAGTTCTCCTCCATTTTTTTTTCTTGTGTGCCATCAACATTCATTGCCAAGCTGCAATAATGCAGTGTATCTGCCCTGTTGTCCTCTCATAAATGGCTCTCTCTTCTCTTTATCATTGTACATCTAATAGGGTGTTATTATGAGCAGACGGAATAAATGACAGCTGGGTGTGAATGGTTTGTTACAGGGGGGAGAAACAGTGTGGTTCAGTAGGGCAGAGTAGGCCCACTGGCAGTGCAGCTGCAGTATTACTGGGTCAGTGTGCCATCGTGTTATTCGGCATCACTGTTCACCCTCTGCTACCCTCCCACTATCAATCCCTCCTGCTTTTATGTTGAATTGGAAAACAGCACCATGGTCTATGGGTGTGCTTTCGTGTTTTTTGTTATGAAGGTGTCTGCAACCTTTAACCTTTAGCAACAAGGCAGTGTTTGAATATAATAAAGATGGATGGCTTCCCATTCAGTCATTTTGTGTCATCCTCTGATAAGAAAATGAGTGCATACTCTCTATGTCTGCAAGCACAAATGTTAGCACTCCACACACGCTCACATGTAAGATCACACACAAATTGGGTTACACAATTCTGTGTCCACAACCCTGTTAAATGGTGAAGCGCTAGTGCAAATCCTTTTTGACACGTGAGAGTGCCACTGACCTTATTAGTAAGACAACTGCTCTAAACAGCCTTGTTTGTGTAGGCTGCAACCTAAAATGCACCGAGTACACTTTACCAACACATAGGTGTTATTCTAGGAAAAATTAGAAATCTAATTTCATACAAGATTACAAGTGAGAAATGTTTTATTTGTAAATCTAGAAGTATAAGGTTTGACTTTTGCTATTTTTGACAGTAAGTGTTTTAACAACCTCCCAGTCTCTTCTTTGAAGACATTTTGTGTAGTGACAAAAAACGCAATCCACCGACTATCCACTTGAGGCTGGTTGCATAAGGCAATTGATTCTGCTGACTACGTCTGCTGCAAACTTTACAGTAAATTACAATTCTGTAAACTTGGATTTCATGTGTGACCGATTATTGACTTTGGGAGGGAAAAAAAGGACAAATTTCCAAGCATTCTTAATATTTTCTTTATATTCAATGCAAACCACTTAATGGGTGAACTTTATTTCTCACGATGTGTGTTTGTCTTTGCTTCAGACAAACAATTATAAACACATTTCCTCCTAAACTGTCCAAGCTAAAATCACCAAACTTGGCCAAGACATCCAAACTGGTCTGCCTCAGGTTATTATATCTCTTCAGACTGGTAGCACCAAAGAATTTCTGGGAAATCTTTGAGAACTCTTTGAAATTTCGATTGACTTAACACTTAAACTTCGTAAAACTGTAACACAAACTGAGAATCACATAGAACTGAACACGCTTGTGCAAGTGCAAGAACGAGGGGGTAAACATATCCCATTGACTCGTAACAGCCAATGAAAATAAATGGAAAATGGTAAACAAAAGTTTCACAGTGAAATGAGAGTTTGTTTATGCTAAGCATAGTAATGAATTTAATTTAACAAATTTTATTTTAATAACCCTAGCAACCCAATTTTCTGAACTCTTTCTCATCTTTGGTAAATTATAAAGATATGGGGGTCGGTTTATATTCCTTATATTGGCACGGAAAACTTTGTATGATATCAGTGATACTCCTCCATAGCAAACAAAAAATCTACCTGGCAACAATTCCATTTTGCCAATGAAATGGCACTTAAAAAGCCAAGAACAAAGTTTGTGCGTATGCTAAAGAATTTTAGCATGACGCTACTTTTTAAGTAAGCTAATACATAACAGGTCGCACATTTGACCACATCATTTAAATGTAAAAGTTTGTTTGCTTTTTTACCTCATAGATTCTCATTGAAGTCAAAAGTGTAAATGAACACAAAGGGATTTGCATAAAGAACAAAAGTATGTTTTAACTATTAGATTCCAGATTGGTCTCTCTTTGTGTTGAAACCTTTGCTAAGAAATGTGCATCACTTGTTGACCCTTTGCAGTCTACCTCGTACCAAGCCATCTTGCCTGGGTTTAAATCAGAAGATGAGTTGATTTAAGAAGAGTTTTGGACCATTGTCCTGTTGAAAACTATATCAAGTTCCAACATAATGCAAACTGAATGGGATGCATATTGCAGTAGGTAAGACCACAAAGAGCAGATTTCCTCTGAACAGCTCATGTAGTGATGTGTCTATAGAACACTATGTGGCATTCATCTGAGGTTCTGTTAACTTGTGATTTCTGAGGCTGGTGACTCAGATGAACTTACCCTCAGCAGCAGCACTTTCCTTTCCTCGGGCAATCATCTTGTGAGGCAGTTTAATCAAAGCACTTTTATGACTTCACTTTCTCTTTGATGTAATATACTGTACATTCTTCCAGTTGTCAAAACGGCCTGTCAGCTGTGTACCAACCTGACTTGCACAACAAATTCTGCTAAAATCACATTAAGAATGCATTAAACTCCACAAACGAGCACTAATGAGTCAACTGTTAGATGAAACCATTTAGGTGACTGCATTCTGAAACTTATTGAGGGTAGACAAAACCTTTTATTCATCTCAATAAGAAAGGGTGGCTAAAATCTTCTAAAATATCAATACAAATGTTCAATTTCTCTCACTTCCTCCTACCTCTTCACCCCGCTCTGCAGTGCTACAATCAATTGGGACACTTATACGAAGCAATTTTCATCATACAACGTGTTGATTTAGGCTAATAATGGTTCCTGATAAAAATTCTTAATGAAAAACTAGATTGTATAAATTTCAAAATTACTTGCAGTTGTGTGTTTCTTTCATCAGGTTTCATCAGGTAAACAACAAATGTATGTGCAGTGTGATGTCTGCTGTGAACTCCTCCACATTACCACTTCCTTTCATTAAAAAGAGAATTGGGACACACCTTTGCCTCACATCAATGTTCAAAACTGAGTGGAAGGGCAATGGAATGGGGATAAGGAAAATTTGCATTTGAGTAAATTCTACATTTATGCATTTGGTAGATGCTTGTTAGTTCCTGCTTTCCCTGGGATTTGATCTGATGACCTTTGTGTTGTTAACACAATGCTCTTCGAAGTGAGCCACAGGAAAGCTATTCCGTTCAGTTACAGTTTTGATGTTTTTAGTGAAAATTGTATTTTTAAACTGCTATAAAATAGAGAAAACACGTTACATAAGACTTGTCTAATTTTCTACTGGTTGTATATGTGATCTAAAAAGAGTTTAGCATTATTTTGTGTGTGTTATCTAAGAATAAACATGTGTAAAATGCTTCTATTCTACAAACACAACACAAATATATGCAATTGACTAAAATAGGAATAATTGTGTGTTTTCAGAGTGAATTCAGCTTTGAATTTGGATGATATGCTATTTTCCATACGATCATTTTTCCAAGTAATCATTTTATTTTAATATCAACTATATTCTAGTCTGTTATTTTAAGTACTTCGGGTGGTTGACGTGGCAGTACTAGAATTTCATATGGTTGGTTTTCTGCTGTTGGATCACTGCTCTTTGAATGTTTTCATGGGTCTTGTGCACTTTTGCCAGTTTATTTGGGGTGTGGATATTTATTTTGTGATTTTCATCACATCAGGCTGCATTGAGGGTTCTCCCTCTGACTGGGGTACATATGGTGATAGTTTTGGCATTCCTGGGGTGTTTCTTGGATGTTTTCAGAAGTTATATGAGCAAGATAAACAATGAAGATTAATTCTCATGGTTATAGTGTAGAACTGGTTTAAATCTCAACATATTTTACAGAGAATTTGTCTTTTGTTTGCTGAGCTGAAACACATTTGTTATCCAAGAGCATTTTATTCATCCCAAGGGAAATTCTCTTTTTCTGGTAGCTTCCATAAACAATATAGAAAAATACAATAACAAATGATAAAGTCCAAATTAAATAGAGGAAGATGCTATTATTAACACTACACAAATATGCTATTGCACATGAAATGCATATAAATATTGCACATAAGAATCTTGTGAATGCGGATGTCTCTTTTAATGGATTGTTCACTTCCACATATGCATGTTTATGTGGGTGATTGTGTGTGCATGCGGGGGATGTGCCTTACCCCACGCAGAAAAATAAAAATAACCTTCAGATACATGCTGAGTCGATTTCCTCTCTAATCTTGAACAATTTTAGAGAAGGGGCTGAGAAGAATGATGGTTTGAACATAGACAGACCTTTTTTATATCAAAGTGAGTGGATTTGGAAGACAGTTGGTCTGTGCTCTTAAAATCCGTTCAGCACACCGTCTATCAAAATGGCAGTGATTGGAAACCCGTGGCTGGCCTGCTTGTTATCTCTGGACTCACCTGTGTCTGCATTGTGCTCCATGTATCAATCTCTGGCTTCAGGCTATTCAGGGCAGCGTCTAAACACACAGAGAATCACAGTTCCTGGAATTACACTGTGACTGCTCTGGTGTCACATTTCTGGGAGGGAGATTATTGAAGAGAAGCCTGTAACATACTAAAGTTTAATGGTGAATGATATTGTAAAACAACACACATTTCAATGTTGATGATCAGAAGCTCCGGCAGAAACAACCATATCCCGAATGCTTAGCAGACAGGTTTGGAATTTTTGTAATCTTTTACAAAAAATAATTTTTGTAGATCTTTTTTTTTAATCCAAAGAAAGTAGTTTGGCATAAACTTTTGCTCCATTATGAAATCACAAACATTTATTGAAGTAGGACTTGAAATCTGGAGTTTCTGCACATTATTAAGAGTATTAAGACCCCATGGTCTTTTTTTGTTGTTCTAAATATACATTAGACTTTTAATATTAATATTTTTAGGCATTACAATTGACATACAGGAATAGAGAACGTTTATTGACAAATTTCTTCGGAAACAATGTCATTTTTTTAATAGTTTATATACCTACCGTTACTCTACTCATTAATTTTTTATACAAAATACATTAAAGCACTCATTTTGGAGTGGTGCAAATGTAATAATTTTTAAGTAAAATATGAAGAAGTGTGGTTCAAAGTGATCTCCACAAAGGATCACTGTTGCTTTCTTTGTGGATACAAAAACTTTCAACACAAGAACTTTCCTCACACACCTGTGATGTCACAGAGAATTTCAGTGTCACAGAAGTTCAGTTCCACACCCATAAAACAGCACTGATCATACACTCCGCCATATTTAACACAATATTATAAGAAATCTTTATTGTACTTTGGGCAGAATCTTAACTAATTAAAAAAATCCCTACAATTACAATCACATCTTGTGAAATCAGCAATATATTCAGTTACTGTATTATTAGAAATAATACTTTCAATACTTAAAAAATGTTGTATATTATATGAGAATTCCAATTTGATCACTATTTAGTGAATTTAGTGACCTGTATGAAATTAACTGATCAAATCACCAAAAACCAGGTGTGAAGGGGGTTAAAGAGCCACTGCCAGAGAAAGACCCGCATCTGTTCACAATACACAGACAGCTTGAGCGGTGTCGTAATTCAATTCACAGGACCTGTCCTCCATGAAGTAAACAAACCATTTTTTTAAATTTGGAGATTGCACTCTTACAGATGCTCCTCTGAATGTGAACATGAGGACCATTGAATAACTGATAAGTGGTCAGGAGAACGAATGCTACAAGGGACTACTAATAAGATATACACGTTCTTAAACAGCTGAGTTTTTAGGAAGGGTTGGATCTTGCGCAATTATGACGTAAACAGCATTAGTTACTCAACAGTCCCCTCTAATGTAATATTGGACCTTCCGCTCAATGAATAGCCTGGTACTTACTGAAACAGAAATGCCCGCGTAAATTTGATCTCACTCTGTTTAGGGGTTAATTCGCTTTCTTGATGGAATTTGCCCTCTGGAATTTCCAAGAGAAGTGCTGATGGCTCAAAGTGAAGCTGTTGCACAAAAAGTAAAACTAAAAGCAGAAATAAACTGGGAGGATGAAAAAGGTGAAAGTGAAAGCCAGGCTTGAGAGGGAATGTTGCAATAATTAACTCATATAAGGGATTCCCCAGAGATTGCCAAACCGGGAAAGAACCCGAGAATTTCTTGTGCTGCGTAGATTGCAAAGGTTCGATCCTGTGTCTGTTATGGTAAAATGAATCCATGGGCACTGTGGGTGTTTTCCTGAGACAAAGGTGAATTTCCACAAAAATTTCAGTGATGATGGATGGATTATTTGCTTTGGGCACTTCATAAATGGAGTTTAAAAAACTATTTTGAATAAAATAGCAATTGTATGAGTCTGAGTTACTGTATTCTGGAATAACTTACTAGTTTCCTAGTTAATTTACTAGTTTCTTTTAATGTTCTTTAAATGTTTAATTTTTTATTTGTTTCAAGGTAATGTCGTATGGTCCATAGTTTTTCAACAAAATATATGGAGTGGTGATCTGTGACTTTGAGATTCTTTAACTCCTGCTCTAGAGTCTGAAGCTCCCCTCCAAAAAAATCCCACAGATGAGGTTAGCAACAAGTCCAAATACTGTGAGCCATGGGTCTAGGTATGCAGGGAAGTGCCTGGTGGTCAGATCTTTAGCCAAGGGACCTGCCAGGGAACAGCCCAAAAAGTCAATGTGGAGCTGATGTCCCGTGACCCTCCTACAGGGAGATGAGTCAGTTGGCATTAAGTGCTTTGAGGTTTGGAGAGAGGCCTAGACAACCTAGTCCAACTGTATGCATTTTAACTTTTCGAGATATATATCTTATTTACCCTTTGGTGTGGCAATTGGTACAGTAGTGGAGTTGGTCATCATAAAACTGGAGGGTTGACTGTTCAATCTCTGCCAAGGTCTATTCTGCCGTTGTGGCGTTGGGAAAGGCACTTCACCTGCATTGCCCTGTGTAAATGTGTGTGACTGGTGGAGTGTGAATTTGGTGGTGGCCATGAGGCCGTTGGCGCAAAATAGCAGCCATGTTCTGTCAGATTGCCCCAGGCCAGCTGAGGGCTACCAAGGTAGCTTATCACAACAAGTGCAAAATAAATTGAAGGCATTGTTATTAGTATTATTTTTATATCACCTTATACCTCACATACCTAAAGTTTCCTTGTGACCACTTCAACTGGCACCAATGACTTATTAAGTTGGTAGGCGCATATATAGAACCATTTTCAATTGTTGTAAAACATTTCTGTGTGCTTAACAAATGTGGGAACACCCCCCCCCCTTTTTTTTTTGGAGCATGATTGATAATGCAACCAAATCTTGTGACTTGTTACTTATCTTTTAGTGTCACACTAACAAAAGAGCTTTTAACTGTGTGGTAACCTGGAGAGAAAAGATCTGCCTGTGATGCAGTTCTCTGAACTTTGTTTGTAGACCAGACAGTTTATTATTTTGACATGCCAGTCAGGCCTTATGTGAAACATCTAAGAAAACGTCCCAGAGCCCAGTGACCTTTTGGCCTTTTGACCCTACAGCACACTAAGACTCAAAGCTAAAGTCAAGATTATTTTCTTGCCTTCATCTTCGCCCGAGTTGAACATCTGTCTCTTAAAAACCAATGCCATATGCTGCCATTGTCCCCTGAGATTTTTCTCTAATCTTATTGATCAATGACGGTGGCCGGATTACAGCAACAAACATGTTTTGGATCATAGTAGTATGTGTTTGGTGAGCTTAAAGCCAGTAGAAAAACCTCAAAAACTTGATGTACAAGAGAAAGCCTGTAATTTTTTTAAATGGAAATTTCAGAGTTGGCCAAACTTTAAGTGAACGCTTTCTGTTAATAAGTAGAGAATAAAGTAATGTTTAGCTGAAGTCGATGTGTGAAGCTGTATTGAGTAAGTAATTTGTGATGCATCGATTTATCAAGTAATACAATGTTGCGTCTCTCTTCTTCTGGTTCTCGCTCCCTTCCCTCCCCTTATCCCAGCTTGTGATGCTCATCAGTTGCATTCTGAATGGAGAACAATAGAGCCTTTTGAGGATATAAATCTCACTCTGTGTTCAGGCATGAAATCTGGGCAACTAAACAAAAAGAGCCATTGAGTTGTGAAGAAAAAAACAAGAAAGAGATAAGATGCCCCACGATGAGTATTGCAGAAACCAGTCAACTGCCCCAAGGCTTTTTCTTAA